GGGGGGTGCTGCCCGCTGGAGGACGTAGGCGGGGGGTCCCGGTGGGGGGACAGGGACGTGCTGGGGTCCCCGGTGGGGAGGGGGGTCACGGGGGTGCACCCAGGGGAGGGGGGTCACCAGGGTGACCTTGTTGAGGGGGACGTGGATTGAGGGACCCCAAGTTGCTGAGGCAAAGGGGCTGGTGACGTGGGGACATTGAGCTGGGCACTGCCACCTCCTGCCCATGGGCCAGCCCCACGGGATGGGGCAGGTGTCCCCTGGGAGGGACTGGGCAGATGTCCCCTGTCTCCCAGGAGGGTCCATGCCATATGTGCCCCTGCCCCCTGCTCCATGAAGGATGAGATGTCCCCTGTCCCCCTGGTCAGTGTGGGGGCAGATAATCCCTGTCCTTGGTGGGATGAGGACCTATGTCCCTGTCCCCCAGGAGGGACAATGAGAAGTGTCCCCTTGTTCCTGGAAGGAGGAGGGGAGATGTGCCCTGTCCCTCTGGTTGGGAAAAATCAGATGTCCCCTGTGCCCTGGGAGGGATGAGGAGCAATGTCCCCTTGTTGGGAATACAACACAGCAGAGAGCAGGCAGGCTAGGAGGTTCCTTGAGTGTATGGGAGATAACTTCCTGACACAACTGGTAGGTGAGCCAACCAGGGGAGGTGCCTCACTAGACCTGCTGCTCACAAATAGAGAGGGACTAGTGGGAGATGTGGTGGTCGGAGGCCGTCTTGGGCTTAACGACCATGAAATGGTCAAGTTTTCAATTATTAGAGAGGTAAGGAAGGGGGCTAGCAAAACCTCAACCTTGGACTTCCGGCAGGCGGACTTCAGCCTTTTCAGATCACTGGTTGGAAAAGTCCCATGGGAGGAATCCCTGAAGGGCAAAGGTGTTCAGGAAGGCTGGGTGTTTTTCAAGGAGGAAGTCTTAAAAGCCCAGGCGCAGGCCATCCCTACGCGCTGTAAAGCGAGCTGTCGGGGGAAAAGGCCGGCCTGGCTGAGCAAAGAGATAGGGTCACAGCTTAGAGAAAAAAGGAGAATTTATGACCTTTGGAAAAAGGGGCAGGCCACGCAGGAAGATTACAAGGGTATAGCAAAGTTATGTAGGGAAAAGATTAGGAAGGCCAAAGCCCAACTAGAACTCAACTCAAAGTTGAGTTCTAGTTGGATGTTAAAAACAATAAAAAGAATTTCTATAAATATATTAATAGCAAGAAGAGGTCCTGGGAGAACCTCCATCCTCTACTGGATAAGGGAGGTAACATAGTGACCAAAGATGAGGAGAAGGCTGAAGTCCTAAATGCCTTCTTTGCCTCAGTCTTCAGTAGTAGGACAGGGGGTTCCCTAAATATCCAGACCCCTGAACTAGCAGGCAGGGAGCAGAGTGAAGCCCCTGCAATTCAAAGGGAGATGGTGAGGGACCTGCTCCAACACCTAGATGCAAACAAGTCTATGGGACCAGATGAGATCCACCCGAGGGTGCTGAGGGAACTGGCAGAAGTGCTTGCGGAGCCACTCTCCATCATTTACCAGCAGTCCTGGCAAACTGGGGAGGTCCCGGCCGACTGGC